CTTTTAATCCATCCTAATACCCACATCTGGAAATGTGCAATGTGTATATATGAGATAATGTCCCATCATCCTCTGTCTGTCTCTTGAAGAATTACAATGTGGACTAAAAATGACAGAACCACGAACAGATTTGAGAATGTGTATATACATGTATGTATACATGTGAGGAATGGTCATTTGTACCTAGAAAATTTGGAACTGGACAGCTCTTTAAAAAAGAACATTGATTTCAAAGTCTGGAAATTCACAGGGGGAAAAAAATATCTAAAAATGGAGAAAGGAAAATGGCCATCAATGAAGTTCAAGAACAAGGGAATGGATATATTAGAGGCTAACGGGATGAAAAAACACTTAACTATTGTTTCAGTAAGACCTAGCCACTTAAAAAAAAAAAATAAAAGAAAGCAAGGGGAAGGAGAAGGAAAAAATTTAAACACAGAAAAATCTAGAAGAACAATGAACCATCTCAATACAGGCTCAGTAAATTCAGAGGTTCCAGCAGCCTCCACCACTCTCCATTTACCCTGCTGAGTTAGGTTTCTATGACTGACAGTGTTTCATCTGTTTCAAAGAAATATGCACTGGAAGAAACATCAGGATTTAATAATAAATGTCACGTTCTATCCCAGATCAATGCTAAACCTAAAGCATGCATATCTTACTCTGCAACAGATCACTTCCTTGAACTGGAATCACAGTTCTTGCTTTGCCCCGTACTCTCAACATGCTATAAGTTGCTGACTTTGAATTTTATTGCTATTGTTAGTGGCAGAGAAATTACATTTTGGGTTTTGATTGCTAGCCTTTGTCTTTTCTTGCTACAAAATACAGGATTAGGAGTGATTAACAAGTTTCATAAAGCAATGCTGATGCAGTAACACTTACTGACCAAGGTTTACCATGAAAAAATATTAAGTTTTAATGAAAAATGCTTCCTCTGTCCTTTCAAATAACAGGAATCAGGTTTACTGTCTGTACTTGATGGCACTGTGACTCCTGTCCTCTTTGATTTGTATTGTCTTTCAAGGCAGAAATTAAACAGGAAATTTGTAAGTACAGAAAAATAACAGTAAACACCTTGTCAAAAATTGGCAGCAATAAGGAACTGTTGTTGGAACCACAGATTCTTTTGTTAATAAACAGCTACTTACCTCATGATACTCGATTCTTCAAAATATGTATCAGTTACAGTCTCAATATTCATGGGTCCTTCATGCACCTGAATTTGGATTCTTTTGGCCAAGAGTATGTATTCAGACTCCCCTTATGCCCTTGGTGTCACTGTGTCCCCTTTTCCAGAGACAGAAAGAGAAGAACATAACTGTCTCTCAGCAGTAACGAAGGCTGATTATGGAAGACATAGGGAGATCACATCTCAAATAAAAAGAATTTTAGAAATTCCTTACTGTAAGTAACCATTCCTTGTTTGAGATTCTTCACTGTCAGGGATCATCTATATAGTTCAGATGAACTAAACTAGATTGAACAAAAATCACCTAATTTTTGAATGGGACTGTCAGTGCAAGGTCTATTACACACAAATTGATATACTTTAACAAGTTATCCCTTTACTCAATTTGTTTTAATTTTCTTTAGTGCTATATATTGAGATGGGAAAAATAACGAGGCAGAAATTGCCATGCAGGGTAACTGCAGTACTTAAAAGTCCACTGACTAATAATTTGAAGACAGCTTAAAAAATGCAAGATTTCATCTTGGGATCTTCATCCCAAGTAATAGTTGAGTAATATGACCTGAATTTATATACCAGCCAGACTGTTGTTATATACAGAATACTGTTACACAGAGTTACAACAACTGGTCATGTTAAGAGTGTACTCCGCGCTCTTTATGCTTTAAACAAGCTAATTCACACAGTAATCTATGAGAAGGAAAATAACGTCTCTACATGAAAAGCTGGTGCTGCAGCTGGCAAAAGAGAGATCCTAACAAAGTTCAGAACTCACAACCAAAGATACTAAGAAATGACTGGGATGACTACACTGTTCATCATGCTTTAAAAGGGAACAAGGAGTAGAGTTTGAACATAATCTTAAAGAAAGCAAAACTCAGCATGTCGTGTATATACACACAATACAAAGGTGAAGTTTATTTACCTTCTCTAAAATCAGGGTAACATCTAGAAACATTAATTTGGCAAATTTGAATTAAAAAACCCCACTATTATTGGGGATGAGGAAATCTGAGTACGAAAAATAACTTGTCAGTTGTCTCTTAAAGAAATTCAAACACACTGCACTAGTTTTAGTGCAGTCTGTTATTATGCTTCATTCAGAAGCCTTATTACTAATGAGGTAACTACTCTTACCCTACTCTAGCAAAAATCTCAGCACAATGTTTTGCTCCAGGTACCCATGGCTCCTATTTTTCAGCCATCAGCTGGTTTTGCACCTTGTTAAGAACCACTACGACTGAACTTGCTGGAAAGTAATCTTACTGCCTTTTCTATAGCTTTTTTAAAAATTTATTTTTAATCTAACAGGTGGCAGAAGCCAAAGAAATTTTGGAAGATAAATAACTAGTTCAATGCTTTTAATTGCAAAGTGACCAACAGCCTTTTTAACAAACTTCGTATCTTTAACTTAGTAGATGAAAGCCATCAAGAAACAGCTCAGAGGTGGGCAGTTGCTGCTTCCCAGAATCACAGAAATTGTACTTCATGAGATTTAATTTAGAACTTAAAATTTTGGTTTAGAGCATAGAGAAGTTCCCATATAGTATTTGCAAATAAAACAGTGAAAATAAGTAATGTTTTTTGTTTCAATATTTAATCCAAGCAGACACAGACACAATTTATAAAATTACTCTATTGCATTGAAGTTTTATATAGCATTTAACTTTTATGAATGTTTTTCCTTCAGTGTATCATATATTCATATTTTAAAATATCTTTGCACAGTCCTTTGTGCAGCTACATGCTAAAAATCTGCAAATGCACACTTAACACTAAACAGCACAAAAAATACATTCTGTATCCATTCATATGCAAATTTAAAACATTTCACTTGGCAGATAAACAATGAAAAGTTATTTTTAAAAAAATCAGAAACTACAAAAACGCGCACATAAAAGTCTTCCCTTTTGGATTTTTAGTAAAATACTGCTCTGTATAAGATCTAATGAAAAACTCCAGTGCTTACAAAATACTTTATATCTATGAGAAAATCAAATGCTTAAATTTATATCTGTATGAATTAAACACAATCACCTTGTTAAAATATAAAACTGAAATAACAGGGGACATGGCATAGGTCAATGCAGATGTCACATCTACCAGGACATGTAAAACTGTAATCAACTGGGCACCAGGCAGTCAGTATCATAGAATACAGAAACTAAAAACCAGGGACCAATACAATATGCAGCAACTATGGAAAAGTGTTTAGCCAGCTATATGCACTAAATATAGCAATTCTGCTTGAAGAGGGAGAGGAAGTCTTAGTCTGAAGTCAGTAATTAATAACAAAAATTACTGTGTTAAGAGTGTAGTGTCCTTCATAACTTTGTTTCTAAAAAATCTGCATAAATTAGCTATCTAGGTATGTCAAAATTCTGTGATGCAAGAATCTAACATAGTCTCATCTCCATCACACAAATTTCTAATTAGATTTTTCCTCTGGTGATCAGATAATTCATGTAGGATATGGGAGCCTAACATCTGTGTCTCATAACTAAATTTCACATAAACACTTCTAAAATACTGGTGTGTCAGCATCATTTCAGTCTCGTGTTGCTAATGACAATAAATCACCAAAACGATCAACTTTCTCTTCATGGAATATGGCTTCAAACCCTCTTGAGACTAGATGGCTATAAAGAGAATAACAAAATCAATGTATTTTAAGACTGTGTACAGACTATTCTACAAGGTTTGTGATACTAAGTAAAATAAAATAAAATTTCTTAATCTTGTTTTTACCTCTGTGATCGTCTTTATAGAGCTTGCTGCTATTGTACAAATACTGCTGAGGCAACAACTGTTTCAGAGAAATCAATATAAAAAAAAATCCTATAATGTAGTAATAACGTGAAACTTGGTACTACACCAAGAAACGGAGGCAAAGAACAAGGTACAGGAACTGAAAGAAAAGTCTACGGACTTGCAGATCCAACATGAAACTTCTTTGGAGGCAATAAAATGAATCATTAAAGTATGCTTTATTTCTAGGCTTCCTGGGCCTTAAAGCAAAAAACTTTATTCTGGAACAGATTAGAATAAAGAAGAAAAATTAAATTTAATCAACATTAGTAAACAGCATCAACTGAGGCCTCAAATTTTCTCTTAGACTGAAGATTTCTTAAGATCAGTACTTGTGGGTTAAAAATAGTCCAGGGACCTTTGAGCCTTCTTTTTTTCCTATATGAACTAAAAATGATGGAGTTACTACTTTTACAACATAGCTCCCTCCAAAAATACAAGTCAACTTTTTGTCTAAACATTCTTATGGAACCAATAGTAACAGTTTCTGATAATTTAATTTTGCTAACAGAACTTCTATCACAAAACTAAAAAATAAATATTGAAAGTCACTAGCAACAGAAAAATTACCTATCATAGAGAAGGTTTCAGGGCACAGACTATTAGGGGGAGAAATGGAATCTAGGTAAACATAACTCTGACAGCCATACTGCACAAATGGACATGTTTAAACTCTGGCCATTTTTATAATTTAGGAAAAAAATCAGGATATCACTAGCATTTTAGGAGACTATGCAGATCTGTAATAGATAACTATGTTATTTAATCATCAGAGAACAATGAAATTGATAATGCTGCTACGTTAAAAAAAATAAATGTACTTTACCAAAGTGGTCTCTACTTTGCAAATATATTTTTTTACTCAATACATCCTATTAATTAATTTCCTGCAATAGATTCTGCATCAGCAACCACTTTTTGCCCCTCTAATATTAGAGATACAATAATACCTACATTTTGAAAGTTGTTGCCCTCTGATATAAAACCTAGCAGTTCATAGTTAAATTTGTCAGTTCCACTGTAGTTAGGCTTTAGTCATAGTGATGCAACTCAGAAGGACATGGAGAGCCAATATAAAAGCTGCATGTAAATAATTTTTCCTTTCTGTCTTATTACACTATTTAAAAATAAGCTAGAATGCAAAATGTCATACTAAGCAATGTTAGATGCCCAACTTATTACCGCTCCATATCCCTCCCAAAAAGCAGGGCAATTCTGAATTAAGGTTGCCACTGTTATTGCTGCTTACCCAGTATGGACTGTAAGCCACTGTTTAGAAACCTAGGCACAATGGATGGCATGATCACCTTAACTCAGTATTTCCTGGCTTTTGCTATTTTAAGTCAAAATAATTAAGTTTTAACATAATTTTTATAGTTTTCATTACAACCTGAAAATCATAGCAAATAAAATGTATTTCATAACACTTAAAGTGGCTGGTCTTTTTAATAGAGCTTTCTGATTTTTTTAAAAGATAGAACATAACAGTGGGGGAAGAGTTAAAGGTAAAATACACCTGGCTACCATATTTATTCTGAAGATTTTGGTGCGCCAAAATTGACAGCCAGCTTTCTCGGCTTTCGCTTGCTGGAAGTGTTTGGTGCTGATTTGTTATGAGGAACGCTTGGAGTAGCCACATTGTCTTGAAATGAAACAGTGGATTGAGCAGCTTGAGGAGATTTTAAAGGAGCTGAAGAACTATCTTGCTGATTGTGGTCAGAAGACACTGGCTGTTCATTCTTTAGTGATGCAGCTTGAGGGGAACTCTGAAACTCCTTGAGCTCAAAGTTTTTCTTGCTAGCAGCCCTTTTTTTAGTTACCTTTAAATTAAATAAATATTATTTAACAGAAAGAATTCTCAAAAAACTGCAAATATTGCACTTTCAGAAAACATGCATATAATTTTTACAACAATTTTCTAATACTAAATAGTGCTTCACAGTGAGGGTGTTGTTGCATTCATCATGTAGGCACTTTTTTAAAAAAAAAAAACCCAAACAAAAATAGAATATTAAGACAAACCTGCCAATCTTACCTGCAGAGGTATAAACTGGTTGTGGGAACCAACTGGTATAGTTCCTGCAAGAGACACATTTCCCGGATAGGAGCCAGGATAATAATGTTTAGGCACTGGAGTTCCCCAGGACACTGGACCAAACATGTGAGATGATGGAGGCATTATATTAGCTGTGAAAATAAGTAACTTTTAGCTCTCTTCCCTCAAAAAGAGGATACCAACTCCGCAAGACCCCAAAAAGTACCCCAATTACATTTGCCTGCATGTTGTTTCTCTTTCCCATAAAACCTCATATTCTTCATGTTTAGTTGAAAACAAGTAAGTATTTATTTACTATCAAAAAAACCCCAAACAAACAGTTCTGCTTTTACAGAACTACACCTAGATGAAAGCACAGTTAAGAGCACAAAGTCACGGCATCTGCATTTCAGAGTGCACATAACTTAGGACCTCCACATCCTTAGCTGAGTGAACTGTATTAGTAGAAGGCTGCAAGTTTAGGCCATCCTTTTGAAACAAGTCAACAATATAGAAACCCTGGGGAAAAGAGATGTAGCAGCTGCTGTATGGGTTACTAGGATGCTACAACGGTGCTGACTCATTAATTACTAGCTCTGAATGTGAGCTTTAGTAGAATACAAAATAGATGGGAACCAGAAACACCACCAGGATTTTTAGCAGTTTTTGGAAGGTTACTTACCATGCTAATGTTTGGCAGTGTACGACAGGATTGTGATGCAGCACTTTAGTGAAAGGTAGTTATAAACAAATAAAAACACTAAAGCATGTGTAACCATTAACTATGTGGGAGGAAAAAAAATCCATGTAGAAAATGAAAGAAGAGATTTCTTATTAATTCTGAACTGAGACTAGCAGCTTTGAACTAATTACTATTGTTTTGAAGGAAAAAAAAAACAACAAAAAACCAACTAAGACTGAATGGACAAATACATTCTTGAGGAAAAGAAATAATTGGGAAAGATGTGGTTCTAATGAATTAATTTGCATATTGATGAGAAGAGGTTCATGCACTGTTTTCAAAGCAGTTCAGAAATGTAGCTACAAACACACATACACAAAGACCAAAAATAGGGCTTTCTGGAGGACATTTTCATATAAAGAACTCTAACAATTACAGAATATCATTACAATATTTGAAACACATACAAGTCCAATACTTACCAGGGGGTTGTGCAAATACTGGAGGAACAGATCCAGGTGGTACAGGAACTCCCAGTGGTTGATAATTTGGAAACACTGGTGGAGGTGGAGGCAAAGGGAAGTTTACTCCTATAGAACTCTATGGAGAAGGAAATGGAGGATTACAAACAGACGCAATGCAATAGAGACAAAGATTTTAAAAGACTCTTTGTATCCTCACCAAACGCTGTAAAGCGAAAAGCGCAGCTTTCTCCTTTGCTTCAGCTTCAGAATGACACTGTGGTCCATGAACCACCAAACCATTTGATAATTTTATGTGACAAACTGTCATGGTCTAGAAAAATGAGATAAGATTTTTGAGCGAATTTGTATTGCTGACAAAAAAAAAAAAAAACTGTGAGAAAGAAGGAGAGGATTTGTTTGTTTGTTTAAAAAAAAAAAAAGGGCAACAAAAGGAGCTAAGGTTTATTTTTAGATGGATTTCAGTGCTCAGTCCAGGTGTTTAATATAGGGCAGTTGAAATACATTTGAGAATTTTAACTTTTGCTGAAAAAGCTTTTTACCTGGGGTGTTTTTAGGAAAGAGAAATCTGGTTGCGACATTCCAACAAGAGAACAAATACGAGAAAGTTCAGAAACAGTAGACAGTGCAGGCTGTGGACAAGCAAAAGGGTGACCTCCAGTTTCCAGTGCTGGTGTGTTCTGAGGGCCTCCAGTGCTATGAGGCTTGTTCATATATGCAGCTGACAAAAAAAAAAAAAGTTGTATCACAAACATTTCCTGCACTGCAAGGATAGCAAAAGAAAAAAAAAGTGGTTTTTTTTTCTAGTATTTTCATATCTGATTAACAAAAACCAGGAGGCTATATAGAGAGATTTTTAAATCTGAATAAAGAAGCAGAACTGAAAAAGATGGATATTTTATTACTGTATTTTGAAAATCAGTACTATGCCATTAGTTATGTTCTAAAATGTCACTACAAGGTGAAGCTGTGAACTATGAGCTAATGTCTAAACATACCCAATTTTTTTGTTTGTCTGTATTGCAAGGCAGCTCCACGGCAATCCTGTCTACTAGGGGGAGCAGGAACATCATTAACTTGGGATTTCACTTCATTCCTTGTTTCCAGGTCAGAGCCATCTATCTTCAAAATCTCTTTGAGCATCTGTGTTCCTTTCTTTAAAAAAAAATAAAAATTAAATAAGCCATTCAGGGACATGATGGCATTCAGATAACACTACCTTCTCACTTAACTCTGAATATCACAATCACTAACAAAATCTGAATTTATGTTTGCCTATCAGTTACGTTTTATCAAAGCATAAACAAATGTGTTTGTTAATTTTCTTTGAAAATAGCTAATTAAAAGCTCATCAATATGTTTAAAAAGGCAGTATAAGGTTTCATCAAGTTTCTTTAAATAGAAACACTGATGCTAAGACAGCAGATGCTAAATTGCAATGGAATGATTCCTGCAGTATACAGACCATAGCAAATGACTGTGGTGACAGATGTTCTTCATTTGTAGCTCTTGCTTCCTTGGAATAAGTCTGCACTTCATTTTCTTTGGAAATTTTCAAAGAAGCTAGAAGGCTTTCAAGTTCATGATCCTTCTTAAAACAAATTAAAAAAAGGTACATCAACTTAGAATATTACAAGCAGATGCAAGAGGAAGGATATATTAGATTGAGATTAATTTTATGCTCATTCAGGATTTTTTTTCTCTTAGCTTGGGCAGATCAGAGTCATGTCTGCTCAGAGTGTGAACAGATATCCAGAGACTACATCAAGTTTTGCATACTAAAAAGATGCAAGTATTGACCAATAAAGAACTGATTTACAGAATAATCAAGGATATACAGGTTTGTCTTCTATATGTTTTAAACGTGAATTTGCACACAAGTGACCAGGAATAATTAGTATAAAAGGGACTGGAAACTGAAGTTATTCAAAGAGCACAAGAAAATCAACTGTCTAGATCCTACCTTTCCAGCTGCACAGGGACCATCAACTGAAGCCTTCTGAATTACAGGCATGTTGGGACTTTCATTCCTCTTCAAAAGTTTGACATTGTACTTATTCACACCTGCAAAATTCTGAAATAAACTGCAGCATTTATTATTGAATACTAATACTCCGTTACTCATTATAACACAACCATATTAGAAACGCATCTGCAAATAGCTGCCATAAGCTAATATTCTTAGAGGACGTCAGCCTACTGAAAACCTAGCATTTGTGGTTTCCCATTACAGTATAGCTTTTAGAGTCTGAGAGGGGCAGGAAAATCATTTGGTATCATCATTATGCATCTTAACACACTCATTTTCTGTTTATAAAATCTCTAGAGAAAAAAAAAATCTCCAAAACAAAATTTACTTAGTAAAAGAATTAACTAAAGTGCTAGTTAAAGAGAAATCTGTAAAATGATAAATCGGATCAGAGTAAAATTAAAAGAAAAGAATACATTTACTCAGTACAGAAAAAATTACCTGTTTGTTTGATATTTTATTATGTGGCTGACTTTCACCTCTTGTAGCTTTGGAATCTTCTTTAACTACAAAAGAATGCATTCTTTTGAAATGCTCCTAAAAACCATAATAATAATAAAGACTAAAAAAAAAAAAAAAAAAAAAAAAATCCACACAAGTACACAGAGTTGATTTAATTTGAATGGTTGTATCAAATATTTAATTCATACTTTATAGGTTATTTGGTATATGCTTTTCTTGTAGTAAAATATAAAATGAAGTATATGCAATAATATATCTAATTTTTATATTTTACAAATACGATCACAAGTAAATTATCAAAGCCAAGTTGTGAGGGTTTTTTGGTTTGTTTTTATAGCAGATGAATAGAAAGTCAACATAATGCAGAACAGCTTGATTAAAAGGTTCAGGGTTAAGTGTGGAATAACCTAATATGCACACCAAGGACATTATTTAACAATAAGAAGTGCTATGTAGTGTTTCTATAACTATAATAAACTATTTTCTGTCAAGAGCTACAAAAAACTCAGTATTTCAATGAAGATCAGATGAAGCACATAGTTCTCTTAAACAAAGTTTCTAATTGTAATACTTACATTTTTTATATGGCTCCTGTTTTCTTTGCTGACCTTTAAAGCTGCTGTCATTGAATCCTGGCTTATAGAACTGATTGCCAGTTCCCAGCTTGATTTCCTGAGGTAGAACTGCACCCTAGGATTTCAAATATCAAACCTTAACCAGAAAACTGTGTATTATTTACATAGTAGTCCCATATGTTTTACCTCTTTTCAGAGCTATGCATGCCCTGTGTAACTACTTTAAGCTAGAAGATTTATTTGTAACGTTAACTAGAAAGTTTTCTGATGTAATGAACTGATGAATAAAATTAAGTAACTTCATATTTTTAACCCAGGGATGTGTTTAAAGTTTATATACAAACCTTTTCACGCGTGGTTTGCTGAATGTGGCGAGACTTCCCAGAACTCTGCAGTGACTGCCATATGCTGCAGAATTCATCCCCTTGCTTACTTTGTGCCTGACAAAATAAGAAACACCACCAAACTCAGCAGCTATAAACTCAACTTTTGAACAGCTCATCATATAAACAGACATTCTGAAAATTGTAAAGTCCAAGTTTAATGGTGTTCAGACAACAGAAATTTCCACACTGACACTAGTAGAACTTGCAGGTATTTAATTTATGAAATAGGCTATTGTGGTGGGTTATATTTACAGAACAATTTTTCCTAAGATTCACTATTAAATTGAAATGAGTTTAGTTTGTTTTGAGATCAGTTTTCACTTTTTTTTTAACTGGAGTTATGAACATAGGAAAGATCATCAAGTACAATTAAAATCAAACAGTAATTCAAAGTGGTTTCAAAAGTATGCTTGCATACTGGTAGTATTCTTAAATTTAATTATTAATACCTTATTTTGTAAGGCCTTATCAGACTCAATCGCTTTGTAACATTACAAGTATGTTACGACAGAACTGAAGCCCAGCTATGTAAAAACCACTTTTGAAAATCTAGAATTCAAACCAGCATAACACAGGTTATTGTACTCATTCAAAAACTGGGACAAGTTCTGCTCCAGTCTGTATCTGGACTAAAACATCTGATGTACTAAAACAAAGTTATCTGTTAATCTTAAGAAAAGGACACCCGCTCTAAATAGGAGCAAAAAACATTTCAGTCTAATACTACATGAGTCAGAACACTCACTTTAGTTTTCTGATTGCCACTCAGAAATGATCCTTTCTGGGGTGAATTAGAGTTGCCCTGATTTTCAGCCCTGAGATTGTAATGCTGTCTTCCATTCAGTTGCTAAATCATTGACAGAAAGCAAAAAAAAAAAAAATCAGAAGCATTTCACTGCATTAAATTTCTTTTGGAAAGTAGTTTTTCTTGTACAGACTTCAAAAACATGAGATCATTCTTCTCAAACATGAAGTTACCCATTAAGCTAATTTTCTTTAAAGAAGTAACTTATTAAAAAATAAAGTTTAATTAAAGTAATGAAAACCTCAATTCACCTGTAATATTTCCTCCTTTACTGATTTTTCAAACAAAGTAAATCATAACTAAGAAGCAAAACTGACAAGGAAATCATGTCTTCTCTTTCTGATCATGGACAAACTTGGCCTAGAGGAAGCATTACTTGAAACAGAGCTTTAAGGAAATAATTGCATCTCTGCCCAAACAATTTGTTGACATCAAATGTATTGTCACTGCTCCGAACTAAGTATTTGTCTCTTGGAAACCAAATGGAGCTACTCAAAGCAAAACAACAAGGAACTTTTGGTTGCTTTCATTATTGGATTACCTCATTTCTCCAAGATAAGGATTATCCTACTTCTAATATACTGATATAAAAAATAAATTTTGTTTGTACCAATGGAGATAACAATCATGGTCATAATTCAGCTTCTAGGGAAAAACATTTTTGTACAAATGAAAGGAGTCTTACTTGAGTAGGAACAAAAAGGGAGCGAGGAGAATGGTTGAGGCCTCCCAGATGCGCTTTTTGCGAGCATACAGATGACAGATCAGACGCATATGAACTGTAGTTATTCACAGCTGGCTGAGGTTTAACTATGGCCGTCAGTTTTTGATTTCCCATTTCTGACCGACTACCATGAGACAGGTTAATTAAGGCATTTGATGGCAGACGATAACCTCTGGCAGGTGAGCACCTTAGGAAAAGCAAATTATGTAACTGTTTCATGTAGTTTAATTGTTGACATTTCAATATACTTGATTTAACAACACTGTTGCCTCTATGCCAAAAGATAATGACTCAAGTTTGAACAGCAGAGGCTGAAAACTGTATCCAATATTGAAATCTAGTATCATAACACAGGATATGAATCCCATTGTGCTCCCCTTTGGCCTCTGGCTGTCAAACCCAGAAAACAACAGTCATTGCTACTACTCTGAGTTTTTATTATACCTTTCAGTGCTAAGCTCAAAGAAATTTTAAAGATGAGTGAATTGTTACAGCACAGTTCTGTAGTAAGTATTTCTGTAAAAAATTATGAACCAGGAAATAATATTATTTTAATTTGCTGAGATGAAAACTGAAGTCAGTAGCAAAATTATAAACTGAAGTTAAGCAGCATCTTCCTTTATGATTCTGAATACTGAAGATTATCTGTGTTACAGGACATACTCTTGCAAAGAGAGGATTGTGTTATGCTTGCTGAACACAGGGAACGGGTAAGATTCTCCTCTAAGTTCTGTCATAAAAAAGCTTATGTTATCTAAAAACAACAACAAAATGAAGCCTGCTGGGTTAGTGCACTTAGAAGTTTACACGCTTACTTAAATACAGAAGAGTTATCACACCTTTTAAAACAAAAGCATTAACCATGCCTCCACCTCCTGAAGAATAGTTTAGGTTTCTAATGGTGGTTAGAATTTAGTGCCTAAGTATCAATTATTGATAGTTCAGAGTCCTTCCTTCAGCAGAACAGATGATTACTGACTATTTTTAATCTGTATGTTAAAGACATAGTGATAACAACCTGCTTTCTACATATTTTAGAAAGACATTTAGATCTAGTGCTTTATTCTGCTGGTTTATGTTTGATTTCTACAAACTAGAAGCTTCCAAGTACACAGAAAAAGCCTAAAAAGCATTTCCAAAATATAATATGCTTCATAAAAATTATCCCTGCTCAAAGAGAAAAAAGAAACACAAAAGAAATAAAAACTGACCAACACTGTTGAGAAACAAAGTTTTAAAAAGAGGCATTAAAAATACTCAGCCAAACCAAAGGCAATGATTTCAAGCCATCTATACTAATAACATGAAATGACAATGAAACCCCCTGCACTAACCTTATAGTTAGGCCTCCAAGGAATTCTTCATCAAACAAAACTTCAAAGAGCACATCTGTGTCTCTACTAGCTGTAGAAAACAAATAAAAGTGTCATTCTAGATATGTAATCCTATATATGTGTCATCCTATAACAGTAGCTGTTTTCATCTAAATTATATAAATATCTATATTAGTTAGGCAATAAATAATGAAAAGACCAAACACTAACTAATTAGCAGAAATAAATCCCTTATTCCTTAAATAAGTAATTTCATTAACAGCAATTTACAAATGCTTCTCAAAGTCATATATGGCTGCCCTTTTAGATATACTTGCAAGAAAAATGTACCACACATAACAACTTATCACCCTGCATTAACAGGACTGCAATTCACAGCAGTATGTCACAGTTGTTAGAAACTGCCAGAAAAGAGATGCAAGTCATCTTTATATTCAGGCAGTTGGAAACCAACAGCTTTAAAATTACCTTCTTGCATAATGACAGACTAATCCTCCTGCAAAATTATACCAGTATATAATCATTATGGAGAAAAGAACACCTCTTTAAAAAAGCTGCACTCAAGTCTAGTCTATTCAAGATTCTGTTGGATACAAACTGAATGAGAAAGCAACTACATAAATGCCAGGTAAGAAAATTATTTATATTACTAGATCTCAAACTGTTACACTCAATGTGATTTGGTAAATCCTTTTGTCTACCTGAAGTAGATTTATGGACAATCTTGTCACAGAAGGTATAAAATCCATGTCATTTAACAGAAATGGAGTATCACAGAGTAAAAGACAAATCCCAAATAAAACTATATGAGACAAATAATATTTGATAAAGTTTTGTGTTCAGTGTAAGCATTAAGGCTAATACTTGATTTTATCTCGACTTCTCTCAACTTTGCCCATATCTTCCCATAGCTTCATTTTGTTCCTTTTTTGCAGCTTATGTTCTATCTCATTAATCTCTCTGCCTTCTACATATTAAGGAGGAACAAAGGGCAAGTAATTTCTTAACCAAAGTACAGCTGTGTAACACATGAAATTAAAATAGAATATCTGTAGCTTTAATTCAAAAGAGTAAATACATCATTAGAGGCTTCAAGTTGCATATGCTTCATAGGTGAGAAATTTCTATGCATTGACAACTATTATACAAAACACTTTTCTGAAGCCTGCTTTCACATCACCACCTGAGCTGTTATATAGCTATAATGCTACAATTATGAAGAAAATATTACCTCCTTTAATTCCTATAATGGTACCTCGAAGACCAACTGGAACGGAAAAGTTCTCTCTCACATTGACAACACGGTCAAACAGCCTGTACTCTGCATCTCGATCTGGAACAACCCCATTCTGTTGTTCTAATGGCTGACAATAACCAAAAGACCGTGTTACTATTTGCAAAAAAAATAAGGACTACAATCAAAACGCATTTATAACAGTATCTGAAACACACTTTAAAGCAAACTATCTGGAAAAAAAAAAAAAAGTTTAGAGAACAAAGAATTTTCCTTTCCCTCCCCAGACACAAAGCAAACTATTTTTTTTTTTCTTGCAGCTCTCATTCACTGCTTCTGCCCGAGAAACAGCAGTGCTGTACATGATCCAAGGCAGAGGAAGGGGATCAATTCAGACAAAATAAAAACACCAGGTGTAACCTGCCTGTATCAGTAACACAAATATCTGAAATACCAGGCAAGATGAGCAGCTGGTCATATGTCAAGAACTGAACAAAAACCAAAATATTGAAGAAAAGACAACTGGGAAGAATGTTTTATTTTGCCTTCATTACACAGCCAGTAAGACCTGTAGAAGCAGTTGAAAAGAACGGAAAGTCAGGGTAATACATGATGGAGTTTGTAGTTAGTAGAAATTCTTTCCTTTTAGAGATAGACTACCATTCTCAAATTGATCGTCTAGAAGGCATCATAAAACATTTTCTTCCATCAATACTGTCATAAAATTCCACTTCCTGGAAGTTGGTAAGCTTAGGTAAAATAAATATGATGTGGGCAACTTAACTTAAAAAAAAACCAAACCAAAACCCTTTCACATCACTTACTCTGTACAGCAAATGGGGTTTCACAGTTACTCGCACCTTCTTGTTGCTCTTTCTTTGCTAAAAGAAAGGAACAGAAAGTAATTGCATACTAGTGTAGGAACCAACACTGGATTTCAGGTATAACAAAACACCTGAAAAGTTAATGTAGAATTCTTTTGTTTCTTTCAGATAAAGGTATACAGCTTTCATGAAGTCTTTAGGATGACTAAGTCCAGTTTTTAAAACATGATCAATTTCTTACCAAAGCTTTTGCATTGTTTGTCTAATTACAAAATTCACATACATTTTATTATCATGTCCTTGCAAGTAATTTCGAATAAATCAGCCCGTTATTTCATGTGGCTTTGCCATTAGCTTTTGCTTAATTAATTTCCTTCGCCTCTTTTTTGATCTGAAGCTTTCAGGAAAAAAACCCCAACTTTCTAATTTTCCTCAGAACAAAGAGAAACTGCAAGGGAAGAACAGCTGGGATTGCACTTAGAAACAGCACTTCAGTAGTTCAGAATATATACTGACTCCTATTCCTTTGTGAAATCACCAAAAAAGCATGGCCTAATGCTGCTGAATCGCCTCAAAAAGTGAGTCAATTAAAAAGATTAATAATGAGTTCTTCGGAATTTCTGGGACAATCCGCATTACAAATTTAGATCTTACATTACATTCTGTATTCTTTTTCTTTGGAATGACAAATAATCTTCAATTGTCTTATTCTGATTCAAGAACTTGGAAAATAATGAGCAGCTGCTTTTTGGTTCACCCATGCTCACAAGGATGTCGAGCTGCATACCTTGCATTTCTCTATTTCTTCTTCAATTTTCTCAACAATGGCTGCATCCAAAATTTGCAAGTCACAAGATGAGCGAGACAAAGCAGACACAGGATGTGCCTTTAACCAGGCAACAATTTCTTGAACTTTCTCAGCTCTAAATAAAAAATGACATCAATTAGAACTTTTAACTGCATAAACTAAGCGTTTTACCACATTCCCTGATTTAATCAGTCAAGCAGTATGATATAGGCACAATGCTCATATACATTCATAAAGTAACAAAATTTAAGAGTTCTGTTTGAGTTTATAATAGGAGTTAAAAAAAAATATATCTAACTGAATCATGCAATACCATTTCAAAACTATAACTCCAAGTTTTGTCTCAGGAAAAAAAAAAACCAAAACAAAAAAAAGTATTCAGTGAATTATGTTTGCATCCAACTGAATAACCGTGTCCAGCGGTGATTAAAGGTTATGTGACCAGCTATTTCTCACAACACACTAAGAAAGAACTTCAGGGCATGCCTCTCTGGTAAAATGGAGCAGAAATCTGAGATTCTTATAATAAGGGAGTCCCACAATGGTATATCTGCCTGGTAAGAGTCCTGCACAGTGCAGTATCATGCAGACTTACCAACTCAGGCCCATGAATAGGGCTTACTAGCTATTAATAAAAGCTTTCTTAATGATACTAGACTGTGTCTGGAACCAATGTTGCTGCTTGCCTCTCATGAAACTGACTGAATGCATACTAAAAATATGCAGGGTACTTTAAATTCTGTAGATGTTATTTTTCAAATTCAATGTGAACTTAAGCAATTTATTTTTTTTCCAAAAATGATCTTTTGGTGACTTTGTGACTATTCATAACTATGCTTCCTGAAGGTTACTTTAAAAGCAGAAATTATGAAGTAGTCATTGAAAACTAGATTTCTCATTTACTGGACTCGAGATAGGAGTCTGACAGAGACTTGGACTGCACAACCGCTATGTACAACATTCTGATACTTTTTTCAGAGTCATCACTGAACAATCATGCTGCTCAAGGAACAGCAAGGTTTCAGTTACATATCAGCCCCTATACAATCACCACCAATTTCACAATGTTGTCAGTCTTTAGTCTACTTATTCTAGAAAGGAAAAAAAAAGAAAGATGGCTTACCCATTCTCATCCTCTCCAGGCCAAATGTCATCTTCATAGAAGATATCTTCCTGACTATTCTTAGCTATATAATTAAATAGTTCAGGGACCCTAAAAATGAATAAATTGAAGAAAAATTTATTTTTACCTCAGCATAGACCACAAAAGCCTAATCAAAACAAACTCTGTCAGGCTTCAAACTTTCTGGAGCCCAGACAGATTATTTTTCACTTATTTTAATGTCATACTATTCATTTGTCAAGGGTAAGCTGCTGACAAAATTACTCTATCTCAAAATATATTTCTCCTTGGAAGGAGAGACTGTTAGAAGAAGAATATTAGAATGAAAGAAATTCCATCAAGTAATCTCCAAAAGCAAACTCATCAGTTCTCAGAAGGTATGTATCCAGAGGACAAAAACCAAAGACTGAGATGAATAATTGGATAATTGGTGGATAATTGGATGAAGTTAATATCCAGTATCTACCTTTCTAAATACTCAGCAAGTAGTTGTTCTACTGCAGAAGAATACATCCATTCACTTCCAACTTTCTTAGTATAGCCAGGAACTTCTTCATTTTTCTTATTGAATTTCAGGTTTAGCCCCACATTTGCTTTGTGATCTCCATGAGGACTGGAAGCAAGAAAAAGTTTATTAACTGGCAATAATATATGTGTGTGTGTACATACATTAAAAAACACATAAAGATATATCCTCAGCCTTAAGCCACAGAAAAATTAAATTCACTGTATTGTTTACTTGTTAGCATTGCGACAGCTGTATAGGTTACAGGACGTAAGCTATGCTACAGTAAGTGTCCACACGTATGCTCATACCTTACTGCAAAGGAGGGTGGGGAATCTTTTACCTTTTGTCCTTAATTGAGATCTAATCAACCACAATCTACCTGGCATTTACCAAGATGTAAATGGATGCCCCTGAACAATCAGTGGGGAACAAATGTATGCATTAAATTACAAGAAGATGATCATGCATCAACCACTTCTATAGTGAGTGCTCCTAGGAAACAACAATTCTGACAAAGAACTACAGGGATTGTCTCCATTACATATTTTAAGCAGTTTTAGTCTAAACTAGTTCTTAAAAAAAGGCACCATTATTATCCCTTTATACTAGCAGTAATGATAAGTACAGTGAAATGAGATCCCAATTCCACTTTTTATTTTCAGTGTGGCAAAGTCACTTCAAACTGCTGCTTCAATTACGCAAATAGTTAACCAGGAAAGTCAATTTACGTCTTTCTACAATACTAAAGCCAACAGAACAATGCTCCAGTAAACAAAAATTTAAAAGAAGCTTACAATAGGAGAGAAAAACACTGCATATGAATTTAGACTACAGAAAATATACTTTAAAGAAAGCTCACGTCACAAAACAGTTACATACTTGATAACAACAGCACTTAGCAGAAATTCTGTAGAGCTGTATTAGAATTTATAAGCTTCTCTACAGTCAAAATTCACAAAGAAAACTTACTTTTTCTTTGATCCTCTTCCAATAAAGATACTCCCTGTAAATCTGGAGACAAGATATCCACTTACTCCAAGACGGCTGGCCAAAATATATGCAGGATTGTATTTCACAGAATATTTCTTTAAAACAAACAAACAAAAAATATTGCCAACTCCCAAAGGATAAGGATTTTTATACAAAGGGCGAACGAGTAATATGGGAGCATCCCTTAAAGATGTTTACCATTGCAAAATATATTTGGCACGTTGTTTAAGCTTTTACTAGAAAACCAGAAGCACTTACATGCTGGTTCTGTATTAAAGAATCAAGCTGTGGTTCACAGGGTATATTAAAAACTACACGAATTCTACCTTCTGTGATCACATCACGTGAATCTTGAACCTTGGAGAGAAACACAACACATTAAAAATGTTATTTAAAGAGAGCAGTCTTTGGATTATGGACCTCTTAGTCTACTTTACCAACAATTTTGCTGCAGTAGACACAGAGATGCTCATCTTGCCTAGACCTGTAAATTGCTTCCTCATAGAGGCAATCAAACTGTATTAAAACAAAGGAATCCAAGACTGAAAATGGCCCAAAATGGGAAATCTATGTATTTCACATTATTCCAAGTAACTAATAAAAATAAACCTGAATTGAAGCTATGTTACATTTTTCCTTTTATGCCAACAGCAGCAATAAGGAAAGCAGAAGAAATCCCTCTTCAGAGAATCACAGAATCGTAGGGAGCTGGAAGAGACCTCAGGAGATCACCTAGTCCAACCCCCCTGCCAAAGCAGGTTCACCTAGAGCAAGTTGCACAGAATCACATCCACGCAGGTTTTGAACATCTCCAGAGAAGGAGACTCCACAACATCTCTGGGCAGCCTGTCCCAGTGCTCTATCACCCTCACAGTAAAGACGTTTTTCCTCATGTTTAAGTGGAACCTCCTGTGACTAAACTACGAGGGAATCTTTGCTTTAAAATTTTAGCTTTCAAATGACCACTACTACCACACAACATCTTAGATTATTTAAAGAAATCTAGGACAAAAAAAAAAATTGGAACTAACTTCTCCCATGCAGCCGTAGTAAGGAGATCCTAGCATAAAGGCTGTACTTCCAGGAGGAAATAAGTCATCCAAAGTTTTGATGTTTGAAAAACGTGAGTCAAAGGCTTTGATATCCTACAGGAAAAAAACAAAATTGATGTTAAATACCATTCAGTTCCAGTAGAGTATTTCAGAAGTTCATATAACTAGATGCTTATTCCAAAACATTATCTGAGTCTGAAATAATACACTGAAGGCAAATAAGTTAATGCTATATTACAAATGCTGTTACACAAGCAACTATGCTACCTTGTAGAGTGCCCACTACTGTACTTCATTCAAAATATTATCAGTAAATAGATTACAAAAGCCATTATTTTCAGTAAGATCTCTAAACTGTGCAACAGGCTCCTAAATTTTGTGACAAAATTGTCACTAAACAACTTTTGCCTAAACACATTACTTTTTTTTTTAATACAATATATGGCACTAATTTAAGATGCTTATTGTTGTTCATGCTTCTCTTTTAAAGGAGCATACAATGCACCCCCCTGCCCCAATGGAGTAAGGAGCTATGTGCAAGAAGATAATTAACTTATTTACCTTGACAACAGTTTGGTAAACAAAAGGAAGAACTTGTTTTGACCACTGCTTCTCCAAATAAACTTCTCCGTTTTGGTTTAGTTGGTATCTATTACCAGTGAGTAACTGAGCATATACAACTATTGATGTTTCATGAATAATTATTCCTTTTCTTCTCTGGTAGCTGAATACAAAGTAGAATTTATTTTGATTACAATAAACAGATCTGAACCAAGAGGGTAGAATTAATTTTTTGAAATAAAAAAACCAACCAACCAACAACAAAAACCTATTAACAAAAAGATTCTAACAGTTTGCTTCCTGTTTTATAAAAAATACCCCAAATAAATGGCTTAACCAATTGCTTCTCCATTGTTGCACAGCCATCACTACATTGCCAAACGTGTTGCTTCCCACACCCTGGAAGAGCAAGAGCTGTATTCAAATTTAACAATGCTAAGCTATTGAAGCTGTAACTTGATACTGTACGACTCCATTCTACACACTTCCTGCAACTGAAGATTACTAAAACCAGAATGGAAAATTGAGTGGGAGAGTAAATACTGGAACTCATTCATTTGAAAATTCTTTTGTAATAGCATCTAATTTTAAGTTACACTTTAATTTTACTCACTGCTCTGAAATGCCTTGAACTTCTTTTAACCACATGCTCTGTTCCTTATCTCCAACGTATGCCACTTTAGTTGGGGGCACTGCATTTCCCGTGTAAAGCTTCTGTGTGCCATGTGGTTCTTCCAAATAAAACCTTGATAATATTACAACAGGTATGGATTTAACCAAATAAGATTAATGTAGACACCAGCAATTGTGAGCAAAACTTAAAAGTAGTTAGAAATTACTTGTTAAGGACATGGAAAACTTGCAGCACCATTTTCTCTACTCCTTCCACAAAAAAACCCCAAAAACCAAAAACCAGTGCATATGCTGAAAGGAAAACTGTAGAAATGTTCTCTTTTTTATCATTCTGTGTGTATTTCTGTGCATGCATTTTTCCTTCAAAGTTAAGATTGAGCTCTCACAAATTTCTACATCTACAGCAAAATACTGAAGGACTAGACTTCTATGGAGATAACCAAACCTCAGAACAGTGTTAAACAAAGGTTCTTCCACTAAGCAGCCTTTGATACATCTGGACTAATTTGTTGTTAGCGAGTATTGTAATAAAACAAAAACTTCTGTACAGCCCAAGGAACTTATTTTGAATAAAACAATAAAGACAACAAACAACTATCTATGAAGTGTGTCTTACTTAGTTTCTCCATCAGACACAGCAACAACTCTGGCTTCTTCAAGGTGTGGCCAGTTAACAAAAACGCGCTTTCCAAGTACCATACTGGCAACATTTTCTACCATCTGAAAAAAACCAAAAAGTTACTATGAATAATTCTTTAACATATTAAAATATTTTTGTTAAAATATTTTCAAATTGGTTTTGCAATAAAAACTATTCTAGTTAAAGAATAGGTTTTCTTGCAGAATAAAAAGCTCATTTTAGCTTATTAAATAATATTTTGAAAAATATTACATAATCTGATTAGAAATGGAGAATCATATCTCATTTTTTAGGACCAAGCATTATATTCTAAGTGTGGGTCTTTACATGTAGCATAAGTTAGTTGTAAAACCCAAGTTGATTTACATTTCTGGTATACGCTTACTATGTACTTTCTTTGTTAAATCACTTAGAACAATTTGTGTCTCTGAGACACAATAATCAAACTGACAATTTGAGATTAGTGACGTACTTTTACTTTTGTATCCCATGGAATAAAGAAATAGCACTTACATCCAGGACTTTCCTAACATCTGTAATTTTAGTCTCACATTATGTTCTGTTTTTCCAATTAGTTTCTGCTATTTTTTCACATATTATTTTGGCTTGTTTAATTATCTTTGCCACATATCTTGAATATTCACTTTCCCTATCTCTCTACTGTAAAATCCTATCTTGTTATTTTCCTCCTCTCTTCTTTCCTAGTTTTATTTATTTATCTTTGAAACTTTTTTCTTTTCCTAGATTTGTCTTTTGCTATCTGGTATTTTAGATTACAAAACCGAGTTGGCTCTTCTTTTAAAGGATTTAGAAAAAAATCTTTTTTTTTTTTTTTTTGCCTCTTAAGGTCTTACATCAACTCTCTCCTCTAACTCTTCTATCAAACAGTGTCATTTAAGTGGAAGGTGTAAGTCTGCTTCGTTGATGAAAAGAGACTGATTAAAAAAGCGTCTATACACTCAGCTCCACAAAAGACCAGGGGCACTGGTCTGGAAACTCTGCTTCCTTCCATTTATACAATTTCCAACTATTAATTAGTCAGGAGCACGTCTCACCCTCTCTTTACCTGAGAACATCTGATGGCTACCACAGAGAAATACCAAAAACTCTGCTAAGGAGACTGACATTTAATATTCTGATGTCAGGATAAATTTAAATCTTTCAGCAGATGCCCAAAATTCTAGACTGTTCCCCACACAAATTTAGCATTTTAATCCTAACAATTTTTTTTTTTACTGTTGACTGTAATAGTCAACAAAAGCTTTCAGTGTGAACTAGTACTGAAAACTTGGTGTTTTCAGTGAACTGATTCAGCTGATGTTTTCAAAATACATACTAAGAATACTACCACCTAATGGTCTAACTTTGGGCTGGGAGCTAAGAACTCCAGAGTTCTTACTCCAGCAATTAATTCTATGTCCTTGAGCATACAGTGGTATTTCAACTTCCTTTCTATTAATCTGATTCTAATAATTTATACATAAAGCTCATTTTGAAATCAAGCATTACTAAATTACATTTAAAAAAATTCTAAAGGTACTTTTAAATTAACCATTCAATAATTTTTCAGTACTGCTATATAAACATTTTTCTCCTATAATACACTACTAAGAAGATACAGCTAACTAACATTTCAAATCTGACTATTTAGCAAATTCAGTCTTTTTATGACAATTTTTTTTTGTCCTTTTTTTTTTTTCCCCTCCTTTTGTTAAAAGCTGGATGCTTACCTGTTCTTTTGAGTTCTCATCAGCTATGATTTCTAACATCATGTTCTCTCCATGGCTGCTTTGCTGAAAGACCTGTACACCACTTTTTCTAAGATAGAACTGAGTGAAAAGAAAACAGCACATAAAACTTACTTGAACTCTTACATAGTTATCTATCAAATACAATTGAAAATATCAGAAGAGAGAAATCTTTTACCTTATGTTTAATGTGCTTTAAAGTAGGAAATCCACAAAAATATAATGCACTCTTGTTGATTTTAGTTATCTTATTGTGGGTTATTTCTACGTGCCAAGCATCCAAAGGTATTGTTTTATACCTAAAAATCAAGTTGCACAACATTTGCTCATACAGATTGACCGTCTCTAGAAACTCTCATTAATCATTCAAACACTCATTAATTGACAAACCCTTTGACTTTCCTGTAAGGTGGCAATTAATTTAAGTCACTTGGAATCTGTACAATAGATTTTATAAAAACCTATGCTACTGCTGCAAAGAGACTACTCATTAAGAAAAAGACAAACCTTCAAGCCACACTATGTCACAATCTCACTATTTTAATTCACTGTTATTGTCAAGTTCTAAACTAGCAACGGTTCCATACGGTACCATTCATTTTCACAACTATTCATTCTTCACTGAGTGTAATCCTGCAACAGGCTTTCCTCCCCTATTTTGCTTCAAATTTGACTGCTATTAAGGTTATGTTTCCATTTAATCTTGAAATCTCAGCCTGAGTTAAATAAAGCTGGCTACTTTCAGTGAGAGGAAAGTGAAAAACACACTTGTGTTCAACTCTCCACGCTGGATTAAAATGCTTACATTTTTTTTTACAAATGGTCTGGAATCAGGGTGCTGATAAATCATCACTATTGTCAGATATGTGTACCACTCTTTCATTCTCTGTATCATACAAAGTTTAGTAATTCTCTGGAGCGTTCTTGCTGACTTAGCATTGGTTCATCTGTTTCACAAAGTAACATTTGAGGAAAAGGGACAAATACTTTTACCATCATTCACAACAAGTAACAGCTAGTTCAATATTTTACATTTTTCAGCATATATGTTGGCATATACAAGCTTTGGTTAAAAAGCTAATAAAAAATATTCTAAGTATATTTAGTCTACGCTACGATATAGTTATGCCAGTGTTACCTCGTATGACATCTTTCTATCGCAGGAAATTTCTCTGGCCATGGTGACATGTACTGGAACTCTGCATCTTTGTCATAGCAGTACATTAAGCAAGCACTGTGAGTATTTCTTCGTTTCTCCTCTTCTTTTAGGCACTTATTACAGGATTCCATGGCCTGCAGCAGTCGTTTCTAAATTTTAGAGAAATCAACGCATGTGAAACTGGCAACAAAAATTAGCGCAGAAAAGTCTACATTGGGAAAGCGGATACCTGCATTTTTCTGATTAATGTGTTAATTTTTTAATTGCAGCCTCACCCTTCCTCATGTCTCAGCTCTCTGATAAGAACAGGACAATTACTGTGGAATGGCTTTGGAGAATAAAGATTAGCTTTTTGCAAATGTTTCCAAAGGCTAGTCATATTTTGCCTTTTACATTTAACATACAAAGAAATATTACAAATATTTTATATGTTATAATAAAAATCTGCAAAATAACCCTAAAAAACTTACAGGTCATTTAAGTAGCAACAGTTGTCTTTTGTGAGAATACTAAGTCCTGTCAACCTTTCACTGTGAATTACAGAAATAATAGGTACACCCCACCACCTGTATATATCAACATCTAATTTGCATTTTTTACTTTCATCCACTCCTTGATTTGCTCAAATTTAATCTGATAAAAGATATATAACAACATATATAATACAATTATCCTATATGCAAAAGGAAAATGTTACTATTTTATTCCTTTCTATTCATGTCTTACTGTTTGATTTGTACTTCAAGTCTTCTACCCATTACTGGTGTTCATGCGAAGAGACTTTCTGTAAAAAGACTGGGGTTTTTTTTCCACGTGTTTCTTTTATTTTACCTACAGACATTCTGTATTTTTAAATGTATATAGGAACAGAATTTTTTTCTCAAAGAATATGAAAAGAAATATTTGAATAGCTGATTAAAAATACATCCATTACTTAAGACTTCTGCCACTCAAAACTAACTTTGCTTGTGGTAACTTATCTACCCTTACCCACTGGGCAGCAAACATTTATATTTTTCTGTCTTATCAAGTGCTAATTTAGACTTCCATTTAATTGAATGTCTAACTGTTGATTAATTAAGAAGTTCAGCAAATTTTTTATTAAGCTTTTATAGACAGCATATGTTAAAAGAACTTACCTCATCGATAAACGGAATTAATACTACAGCTTCCCATTCTTGCTGTTTTCCATTTAGGTCAGTTTTAAAATCCGGTGGATAATATTCTATAATAGGAGAGTCTTGACTGATCATCAAGTGCTAAGAAAATACAACAGAGAAATTAAACAATATCAGAAACAATTTAGCACTAATTCTAGGAAGAGAGAGCAGAACGCTGATATTAAAACCAATTCAAGGCTGAACCGGAATCTAATATTTATAATTTAACTGTCCTAGACTGAAATTGCTTAGCAAATGCAAAATTTTATATTTATTGATAACTTTACAATGTACTAAGAACAGTAAGAAGTAGAAGTATGTATTTAATCATACACCTAAAATTTAGAGGTAGACTATAACTAAGAGGACATGCAAAAATATCAAGTAAAGAGTTACTTCAAAGTAAAGCAGACAACCAGTAAGTGACGGATAAATGTGATTTAATTCTAAATCCTACCTGGTAGCATTTAGGTAGCAGATCTTTGCTAGCTGCTGGCAGTACAGCAAGAAGCTGTTCAAATGGCATGAAAGGTTTTCCTAGTTCAAATTTGATTTTGAGTTCACCAATGTTGCGAATATCGGACAGATAAGGTGCATAATGATAAGGATAAAACCTGCAGGGGAAAAAAAAAACCTCTTAAGTTACTTGACTTAATTACAGCACAGCAGTGTTCACAGATCATAAACAAACAGAACTACATAAAATGCACCCAGCATACAAGGTGAAATAGCACTTAATCTTCAAGTAATTTCTCATTTGACAATTTTTCTTACCAGCTCCATGATTGAACTCCATGGTAATAATAATGCAAAATCCATTGTATTGCCTGGACATAACATTCAGCTTGATCCGCCAAGAAGTCACTTAAAAGAAAAAGGAAAGGTACTTATTAGTTTTTCTTATTTTCACTGGTATATAAAAATTACTTAATACCTTGTATGTAGGAATGAAGACAGAGCATTTTGGGAACCTAACAAGACCATGGTTTTCCAGATTCATTTAACACTAATTGATTTTTTTCTTTCTTGTCCTCAAATACTTGTTAAAGAAAACTTGACTTGCAGCTCTTCTTGCATTAGCCAAAAGCAGCACACTACACTACACTGCAGTGGTGCACTACTGTTTGTTTTACACATGTTCTCTGCTTTGGACATGGGCGAATATTCTGTCTTGTATTAGACATATGCAAAGACTTGTCTTTGACATTTAAAAAAAAAAAAAAGTAAGCACACACTTACTCAGAAACTACTTCTACACCCATTTTAGTCATGTAGTAAGTTCTTTTGTATTGCCTAAACTCTGTTTCAAAGAGATCATCATCTTCTGGTTCTTCTTCCAACACAGCTGAAAACACAGTAATAATAAAAAAAAAAGTATTAACATTCACTTCTCTACTGCAATAAGGTTTGACTTTATGCCTTAACTTTATGCCTCAATTCACGGGTATAAATGCTCATATCTTCCTTACACTGAAAATAACATGAAGTAGTCAAATAAAATCTTTACCCAGAGAAAGTCTGGAACTCTTTTTTTTTCCCCCGTTAAAAACAGGCAACCCATTTTGTAGCCCAGTTACAAAAACAGAGAAGAGAATAGAAGCCATTAGAAAATAATTTAAGAAAAAGTATTTTTTTTCAGCAATATCCTCTTACATCATGGAGTAATATTTATTCATTTTTGAGATTAAACTTCAGAACATGAGTAAAAGACATTTCCTACAAGTGGAATGAGTTTTAAAAAAATCAATACAACCAAAAACCCCAAAGCCATATAGAAGTATGTTAATTTAATATCTGTATAACAAAATACCTAGGCACACAATTATCAAAACCAGAATGTTGTTGAAGATTTGCTCATTCATTCCTTTAACTCATCATAGAAATACTGGTCAGGTAAGAAGCACTTCAAAAGCTTTAGCCCCACTCCCTCTTACCATAAGCAAGTGATGTCCAGTTTCCATTTCCCAACAGCTGACCACATAACTCATTTAGATTAAGGTCATCCCTGACATGAAATTCTTGCAGATCTTCCAAATCTATACACAATTTAACAATTTTTTTTTGTTGTATGTACATGGTAAAATTATTTGCACTTACTTTTAGGGGTCACTTCACCTTCGTTTTTTTCTAAAGCAGCCAAACATATAGAATTTTCCTGAGCCTATTAAATTAATATTTGAGATAAGGTAAAAATACAGAATAATATGCACATGCCTCATTCACAACCATGTAATTTGCAACTTAAAATGCTATAATCAAGATGTATAAATATTATTATTATTAAGTATAAAACCCACTGCATTTCCTTCTTTTGTAGTTGCCTAGGGAAAATTATTTTATCCATACAGATCAGACAAAGGAGCTGTCTCAAATAAAATCTCAACTACCTTTAAAAAATATCTGAATATTTGTTTTCCAAAATACAACTATTTCCAAAACTGTGCAGTATACATTTAAGCATTTTAACCTACATCATGCTTTGTGCTACAGCACCAGTATGCCATCAAATTCTTAACCAGTAAATTTTTAAGAGTTCAAATTACTTTTGTGGGAAGTAAGGATACAAGAAGTTGTGTTTTAGAGAGGCAAACAAGCCAAACATTCACTTCATTCTCACACTAAACACTGTCTTTTGTGTACAGCACTGAGTAGCTTCGATAAGCAGAACCATTAAGTTGGCCCTCTTCCGCTGTACCTGAGATATGCAAGCTCCTGACTGTCACTGCCATTCAAAGGATCAGCCAAGATGGCTAGCTAACACTATACAGCTGCTCCAAACTTCTGTGGCAAATGAGAAAACAACCAGAAATAAAGCACACCTTATTAAAGGAAGAGCTAACATCTTGCTCTTAGAAACCACAAACTGCACTGAAGAACAGGACAATGGTATACAGTGACAGATTAAACTTGTAGGAATTTCCTGCTGCTACTCTACCTTCTGCTGAAGGCACACATTGAAGGGTAGACAATGCAGGTGGTGGGGGCGAACATGGCAGTGGCGCTGAGTCAAGATACAGAGAAAAGTGCTGTTCCTTATTAATTAATTACATCTAGAATTGTAAGTTTAATAACCAATCTGAGATAGCTCACACCAATTAAATGGCTATTTATTCATCATCAAATAGCCAGCCAATACCAAGACATGTCTGAATGGCCTATCAGTGTACCTGAAATACATAAAACATCCAGCAGGCTATGCACTGAAAAGCAAAATTATAAAACATAGCAAGTTTGACCACAACTCACCCAGAAGTAAGTGTTGCTGCTGTTGAGGAACAGATATATATAAAGCATTAAGTTACAGGTTTACAAGGTTTCAAAAATAATGAGAACTTCACCTTGAATTAACCATTTCATCACTCACAGCGAGCAACACATAAACAGTTCCTCAAATGTTACATTTTACTACCTTTTCTGATGTCAAAAACCCCCTCGAAACAGAAGTTTATGCCTTTCAATTTCTCTAAGACCAAGTTATTGATTTACAAAAGGTAATGTTCATATTTCCAAAACTGCACATGTAAAGTACTAACCTTTTGTTTCTTTTGTTTATTTTTTCTGGCTTCCTCTGCTGCAATACCAGCTGCCTCATTGAGGTATTTATTGCCTACTTTACTTTCAAACCATTTTAGGTCCACGAAGACTTCACTGAAGTGTTCACGATCAAACTGTGCAGAAAGATTAAAGTAAGTTTAGAAATATTTGAGTGACATAAAATTTAGAGTGCTATATTAACAATGTCTTTTTTGTATGTGCACTCAATTACATCTAATGTACATTCATACATAAATATTTTGCCCTAGAGCTACAACTAAACTAACAGATGAATAGTAAAAATCTTTTTTCTTAGCAATATATAACATATAGCCAAGCCATATTTTGGTTTTTTTCAGTAAGGCAGTAATGAGTAATAAAAAGACTTGGATAACTTCCATGCTTCACTATCAACTCCAGAAGCAGAAGTAGTTTATAGGGTCTGGGTAATACAGTCTTGTGCCACACACCCAACACTTTCATAGTTTTACCCAAGAATCAGAAGACAGGGCTGAAGCAGGAACAGCAGATGAACTTTCTTCTTCCAAGTTCAGCAGAAGGCTCAGACCTTTCTACGTGGCCAATACCTTTTCTCACTTCTAGGATGGATCACTTAAAAGGACTGCCTCCTGTAGGCCACTTAGTTAATGAAGAATGCTGATGCCTGCTTCTGAGAGATACTAATGCTTCATTGCTCTTTACCAGCCATCTTCATAAAAACCTTGCAAAAACCATTGCTCTCCAAGATCTTCAGACATAGCTCACCCCATGTCCTGGGTTTGGTTAGGATGGAGTTAATTGTTCACAGGGAACTGGGAGGCGAAGTGGCATCATGCTCAGTATTTAAACAGGAGAAGTTCTGGGAAGGCAGAGGTACTGAGGCTCGGGAGCAGGTTAGGTTGGGAGTTGGCTGGTGAGCAATTTAGTTCTGTGTATCACTCGAATTATTATATTCTTTCATTAGTAGTGTTGTTGTTATTTTTTGGTGGTGTTTCCCTCTTCCCTTACCATCCTAGTAAACTGCTCCTGTCTCGACCTGCAACCCCATTTTTTAATATTTTCTCCTCCCCATGCCACCAGAGGGTGGGGGGGTGGTGAGCAAGCCTCTATGGTTAAACCACCACACCCCACAAGAAGCTGAGCAGTAAGGGAAGCGAAGAATATTGCTGCCTGCAGCATGCTTTGTCCAGTACTGCTTCTCATTATTCAATGAGGATTGAGGACTGTGATTCCATTGGTGAATCCTCATTTGACTTGCAGTACTAAAAGATGCTGCCTAAAGCACAGATCAAATGATTCAATCTTTTTCCTCTTACATTATGATAAGATAAGACAACAACTGGTTGGAGTTCATCAGACAAGCGGTGAAACAGCTGACTGAAGCACTTGTAAAACACAGCCATTTAACAGTTCATTAAAACTACAGCATGGTGTATTTTAGGGCAATATATTGAGGTTATATTCAACAGACTATATTGTATTGTTACTTACATCTGACAATCTTGTGAGATATTTCTCAAAGCGTTTTAAATTCAGATGCCCGTTTTCATTTATGTAACCTATTGGGAAAATAAAATATGGTTTTTAAATTAACAATTTTAAAATTCCAATTTAAACGCCCTGTAGATAAAAGAAAGTGTAATAAATGCTGAACATTCTAGCATGGCTAAAAAGGTCAATAAATATTAACACAGGCATATTTACATTTCTACTTTCCACAACTAAACTTAGTGTTCTTACCTCCCAGTTCTGGCAAGATAGCCATGTATGTTCTATAAAGTAGCGGCAGTGCATCATGATTAATGTGTAAATGAGGTAGATGAGGAATAAAATCGTTTCCTACAAGGAAACCCATTAAGATCCAATCATCTATTATCCTTTCAATATCATATTCAAAGGAAATCTTGTCCTGGGGGTGGAAAAAAAAAGAAAAAAAAAAACAACACAAAAAACCCAAACAAAAACAAAAACAGAAGCATAATTTTTATTATCACGTTTGCATAAAAGACTTCACACCTTTCTTCAACCAGATCTCCACTGGAACTTACTTTTACTGGTGAAAATTCATAATCGATATATTCTCTCATCAGTGATAAGTGCAGTAAATGAAATGTGGTTTCCTCTGGTGCACATGCTCTGTAAATTATTTAAAATATTAATTATTTATAAACACACTCTCAACATGAATATTTAATAAGTCCAAGGTTACGTAAAACCAAGTAATCTTACTAGGATTCTATCCTTGGAGAAGAAATAATACATAAAAATTTATTTGAATCTATTTTAGGATTCATCTGGTTTGAATCTATAAATTTTTGCAGTAGAATCTTCTGAACAGCAGATGTGACTGCACTGTGTGAGAGAAATTAGAGAAAGAAGAGTGGTTTTTTGGAGTTCCCTGTTGCATTAACTATTTCCTAAGCAATTATCCCATTGTTCAAAAAAGGGACAACCTAACCTAACTTTGCACCAAACCTAGTAAATTTTAAGGTATTTTAGAACTAGTCTGAGTACATACGGAGTCCACAGATTCATATCTAAGCCGGCAGTCATTTGAAATGCTTCTTGCAAGAAAAGAATATGCTCAACTTAAAACTATGCTCCATATGTATTATCCAGTGGCTTCAACACACAACCAAAAAACCTTATAAACCTACTGCTTGTTTATAGCATAAATTAGTCACAGAATCACAGAATGTTAGGGATCGGAAGGGACCTTGAAAGATCATGAAGTCCAATCCCCCAACCTATATTCTGCCTTATTCTCATCTAAAATTGCTTAAAATTACTTAATACCTAAGCCAATGTTAGGTCAAAATCAGTTAATACCTACACCAAAAGATTAATGAGCTGAAGACTAATGTATTTTAAATTCATAAAGGACTGTTTCACCTTGTACATACTGTAACTAGCTGGGACCACCTGCAACGACAAAGCAGCATAAACATCTATGTATTCAGATACATTGCAGATTTTGGCCAAAATCCTCTGAGGAGACGTGTGAGATACACAAGCTTATATAAAGACTAAGACTAACTCTGAGCTACACTTGGCTGCACAGAACTTCAGGCTCAATTCTGTCACTTTTAAAATGCAATTTTCATATTGACAGATCCAAATCGACGGTCTAAGACTCCAGCGACATTTTGCCCCTTATTCTTCATTGCACTGGACTTGACAATTCTGACAAAACAAATAATTTTTCTCAATCAAGACAACGCTGACAGATACTAATTTGTATGTATTTTTAGTATTTTCAAATTTCCAACTGCTAGTACTCGTAAAAGTGACAATATTGACAGAATGCAATTCCTGTAACTTCAAAAAGTAAATTCCTGTAATAAGCAATATTATCCAGAAAATACAACAGAAGCCAAATTGATTAGACTTAAGGTCTTGAAAACATCACAGTGTTACATGCCAACACTATCAACAGAAAGAGTATTAGCTGAAAACAGTTGAAAAAGTTGACTGCAGAAGACTATGAAAAGAATATTTATTTCTGATACTTATCATACTGTCCTTATCAATAAAAACATTTGTTAATAGCAGAAGTGTTGCATTCATCTAAACATTTATATGACTTATCACTGTATTATCCAAAATCCTTTTTGTATCAAAAAAAGGGTATTTCTCTGTCTCTCCTACCTTCTTCCTATATCCAACAAATATATGGCTTAAGGTACTTCAAAGAAGGAACCTAGCCATAGTAACAGTTATAAAATTAATTCTTCTATTATTTCAGAACAGTTCCATGTACATGTACAGTTTTGGAACAAATCACCTTTTTCTGACTTGATTATAGCCCACAGGTTGGTTCAAATGGGCAAATCCAGAATAAAAGCATCCAGTCAGACACTTCACAAGAGTTTATTTTAGTAATTATTCTAGTAATCTACTTAAATGCACAAAACCTCAGAGTTAAAAATACATTTTTAAAAGTCAAAACCTGCACAAGACAATTATGGAAACAATGTCAGTACAGCCTGGGCTGCTCCATTCATAATATGAAGAAAGAAGCACAACACAACAAAGCTCTAAGGATTTTTTTTTAATCAGCTGTCCTGACAGCATACATTTTCTCATGTACACTAATTCAAACGCACAATTAAACAAGTTGATTTCTCTAATCTCATGTACTTTCTAATGCAAAAATAAACTAAGATTTTATTAATTTAGTATGCAATCAATTAAAAAAAACCTGGTTTAGTAACCCAGTATATTTTGGATTTAATTTCATTATATATAAAGTAAAAGTAAAGTTAAATCAGTTCACCTTTGAGATTTTTTACCACCAAATCTGACTTCTTCTCTTAAGAGCGCAAAGTGTGCCTCATGACTTGTTAATCCGAGCATAATCTATTACAAAGAGATATTAGAAAGGTCTTACTTTATTATTTTTTTTTAAAACTGTTACTCAAGGATTGAGCAGTATAAAGAAATTTTGCTGTTCTGTTTCATTAAATTTAAAAGTTTGCAGGAATACAAAATTACATGCTTGTTTAATAACATTTTAGAACCCTAGACACTTAGGAAGATATCAAAGACATACACACTTTATAAAATTCTGTTGTTTGTATTATTTTAACTGCACATACCAAGTCAGCATCTAAGCCATAGAGACAGTGTCTTGTGTTGGGATCATGATGGGGTTTTGCTTTTTCTGATCTGATGAACTCCATAATTTTATGCTCACCTTCCCCCGGAGTCTGCACAAAAAATACCAAAATTCATCAGTAAGTATTTTTCTATAAAATAAAAATTTATTTAAACTAAAATACTAAAAAAATTACAATGACCTCATGGCCCGATAAGTAGACTGTTACTCTCTGCCAGGATTTGTCTGTGGAAATCTTCATATTTACAAAATATTTAAGATGCTCATGTAGTCTAGCCATGAATTCAGTTCCTGAAAACAGAAATCTAAGTTAAACACAAAGCTTTTCACTAGTCATTCAAAATTGCATTTACATACAAAAAATATTAATTTTTTAAAAAGTAGAAATTTTGAAAGAGATGAAGGGGACAGTTGTTTTTTTCCCCAAAGAGGTTTCATTTTTTCCACAGCAATCTAAAATATTTTTAGAATGAGACAGTATTCCAGTCCTACTAAAGTTACTAAAACTTGTGTTCCCAACTTATTTGAGCCTTTATCAATTCTGTCCTCTAATTCATTAAAAAAATAAAAGCCTTAGGATAGGAAAATAGTGCCAAAATGTAGATACAAAACCATAAATCTAAACACTTAAATTTAAGTAATTAACAAATTATATTACCTGGTGTAATACAGTTGGAGTCAAATCTGGCTTCTGTAGGGAGAGTCTCTCCCTTTTCTAATGCCTTTTTTATTTTGTCCTCTGCCTCTTTTGCTGATCTAAAACAAAACAGGGTTGGAGAGAGGGAGTAGAGAAAGAATCATCTTATTCAAATGTTAATATCCTCAGTACAGCTTTACTGACAAAATACATATAGTAGATTTTGCAAAGAATGTTTAAAGAAAAAAAAGAAAAAGAGATAAATTTAACTCCTGAATAGAGTTTGAACTTGTTTCTGATACAACTAGAAGAGTTAAATAGCCTTTTTTCCCCTAGTAATCATGATACCTGTCATTACTCAGATACAGTTAATATTTTGATTACCAAGATGATCATTCAATGGCTGATCACAATGAAAGCAAATTAATGTTGAAACAGTAGGAATACTTGGGATCTAAACATCTGAAAATGCTATCCCAGTACAATGTGTAATGTAGTTAAACAAAGCAGAAAGTTTGGAATACCATGGGGGGAGGAGGGATGAACTAACAATTTATCATCACTAGTAATGGAGAAACAAACAAATACCATCCTAGCCTTTCCTGGCCAAGGATTTCATAAACACTTTGAACCAGAAAAAGAGAAGCCACTAACATCTTAGACTTTTGTCCTCTCAATTCCACTCTAATTTTCTATTTAGAACTCCTTCTTAATCTCTTCTTCCTCTCAACTTCCTTTTTTTCCTTAAAAAAACCAAACCCAGTAGCTTGGAAGTATTTTCACTTGTCTCTTTCCCCCAGCTTGTTTCTGCCACATTTCACTCACCATCTCTGTACTGTCTGACCACTGGCTTGCTCTCCTTACAGCAGTCTTCAAAAAAGCTTTCACATCCCCCAAAACTTTAATATAATTCTTAACACTGTGAAATCTACTTGCAGCTCTGTACTTGAGCTAGCTTGCTAACTGATATCAGCAAGAATCTAGAGTTTCATTAGAAACTTTGTTTCTTCTATGATTGTCAAAGAACATTCCATTATAGTTGCCAAAAAGATGAATCCAGAATTAGCATTCACAAATATCAAAGACTCTCACAGGTTATGAGGCCATGGGAGACATGTGCAAGAGCTCCACTGCAGATTTATTTCACAGAAAATTTCAAAGGAAAAATGCTTCCCCCACTCCTAAGTCCTACATACACAGAGAAAAACTCAAGTAACAAGTAAATTTTCCTTTCTGGAATACTGATTTTAAGTAGTAACATTTCACAGGTAGCTACCCTCATTTAACTAAAAATTGAAGCTACTGTCAAAGGCACAACCACTCAAAATATATTTTATTTTTCACACCATACAAGTTTTTTGGGGGGTTTTTTTAAGTGTTTACTATCCTAAAGACAGAACAAGAACAAATATTCTCACCTAAAACGTCTCCCACGCTGCTGATTCATTTTTGCTCTTGGAGCTACTCCATCAACCGCCATGAAAAAAACCTTCCTTGGTTTAATAATGCGAAACAGAACCTCCAAATAGTGAAAAATATCAGCAAAAATCTTATCTTCTGAGATTCTGAAGTGAACATCATCATCATTTGGATGTGAACACTGATGTATAATGCCATTCATGTCCAGGTATAAGTTGTCAAATTCTGGAATCTACAAAAGCCACAGTTAGTACCCATTTGGTGACAGCTGAAGCAATGCAATTACTGCCCAAGGCATGGCTGAGACTAACGAACTCTGGAAACCAGATGAGGCAGGAGGACCTCCCTGGAACCTCTCAGACACCAATGAGCTAAGAGTATCTTGACTGGTTACTGGTTTGTCTGCACCTGCAATCAGTTATTATGATTTTCCCAGTAAAGAAAGTCAGATGAACAGATTCCTATCCTATCCTGACTGTTTCTGGTACCTCAGGACTCCTGTCCCCTATGCTTGGACAATCTTCTACATTGTATAATGGAAAAGCAAATTAAAAAACACACCAAACAAAAATACCTTCCAGGAAGATTTTTTTTTTTCTCTTTAATAATACCATGCATTTCACTCATCCAATCTTATGTAGCTGCACTACAAACAACAAAAACTACAAAACTGAGTATGCAGTTTCCAACAGTAAATTTCAAAGGCAAAGCCAGCCTAAGGGCTCTCCCCCTGTTAACCAGTTCCCACCCTGATCAATGCACACTGTCTCTTTTGGTAAGCCAAGAGCCACCTGTGAGACGAGAGAGTGGCAATTACCACCAAAAGCAGCAGAGTTATCAATGACAACATCAATTTCTTTCCCATGCTTTCCAAATGCAGATTTTTTTCTGTCTAGTTCTTTGTTCTTCTAACAGCCTTATCTGCAGCAGTCCAACTTAATTTTAAAGGAAAAACCCTCCCTTGAATGTACATAAACAACATACAGCGCACAAACACTGTTAAATGGATGAAGCAAGGGAGGCATTATCTACTTTTTTGTTACCAAAAAACATTGAACATGCAGAAGAGTAATTTGCAATAAACAAATCTATTCTTTAATCCACCAATATGACTGTTCATAAAGATCCTCCTGTTGTTACAAGTGGAAAAAGGCACTGCTAACTTTTTGTGATATCCTGTAGTATTGCTGGTGACTTATCTTTACATAATTTTGCAAGGTATGTTTTTGGACTTGTATTTATCATCCAGATGCAAGAGAAACTGTTTCAGAAAGAAGAATGATAAACAAAAGAAACAAGAAGCAGGATTGGAAAGGATCTCCAGACACCTGCAATAACCAGTCTTCTGTTGTGCATAAAGATCTTCAGTACAGTTAAATTCAGTAACCAAACTGTTCTCAACATGCTCAAACACCACATCACCCACACAGGCACCACTTTCAGATAAGAAGCGAGTGGGGCATTGCACAGGCAGCATTCTAAAGAGTTAAAAATTAAGGCTGTTCTATGGAAGCAACATGTATCTGGAAAATAGATTACCTTTTAAGAAGCACGGCTATAATATGACTTTAAAATAGTGATGTGTTTTACATAGGAATTGCCTTTTATTCTGGGTAGTTTTTTTCTGTAATAGCAAACAAAAATCCTGATCTAGATGCTAGTATGTATCAGTCTGTATATTTAAGTGATCTGGCAGAGTGAATGAAGAATGGGGATACATGCTACTGTTAAAGCTTACTATCACAGATAACAATCCAGACATTTTCTTTTCTCTTTTACACAGAGTAAGTATTCCACATAAGATAACAACATCATCTAGTCTTCAGAAAGACTAGAGAATGATGTTTAACATACTTAAGGTTGAGTTGTGCTTTCTGTTTATCTGAAGAGCTCTAACATCCTCTTTCAGAAAGCATCGTGGGTACCACCCCCTGCTGCTATCCCCCTGGTTAGAGCAGACACACCCCCACTCTCTCAGCTGTCACGGTTCAGTTCTTCAGCAGGAGTTTAAAGCTGCCACCAATCTCCATGAGCACCCCATGCTTCTAATAAAGCAGCTGAAAAGTCAGCATACGCTGCTGCTGCTGCTCTGCTACCCGGACCGTACAAGACACTGCAGTGAAATCCAAGGAGTCATAAGCAAAGACCTAAGCTTTGAGAACTACTTGGAAATTAGAAGAAAGGGTCGAATGCCCAGGTTTGGAATAACCTGAGCATGGCATCTTAGTTATGTTGATAAAACAGCTATTTAATCGTTTAAAATGCTATCTGTTTAGGGAAAAAAATGTATTAACACTGAAATACACCTTCAATTATGACCCAACGCATCTCGGAACGTTCCTACTGATACTATAAAACCACACCCCTGACACCAGCTGAAAACGACAATGACAAGTTAAGAGCTTGTGTCTAACTGGTACCAAACATTATTTCTCCGAAAAGAACACGTTTTTGCTTGACTGTTAAAAGCATTATTTACAGCTTTCCTTTTTCAGGCTTTAACTCATTTCTGGGTTTTGCTACCGATACAAACGGCCCGACGCGTGTGACAAGAGGGAACCGCGGCAGAGCTGTAAGACCTGCCCCTCGTCACGGCCGTGTCCCTCCCCGTCAGCAGCAGGAACCTTTCCG